TGTAACGAACTTCTAGTAGTGGCATGCAAACAAAAACAACGCACACAGCGATGGACAGATGGCGATATATATGTACACTGTAAAAATGTACCCCCTAAAATAAACTACTAATAATTGCCAGCGTAAAAAAAACTGTGCAAAAAAAGTACCCCCCCCCCCCCCCCCCCCCCCCCCCCCAAAGAACTTCCTGCCTGCCTGCCTGCCCCTGCCCCCCCTCCCCCCCCCCCCCCCCTTCCCCGGAAAATGGAGAGTCTACGCCGCTGGACAGAACTACCGAGGACAAACTGGGCAAACTTGCACATTTTTGCCTCATTATGGGACAATGTTTGGGGGTAACAGGGGTGTTCATATTAAGGGGGGGGGACACTGGCTAGAGGTTGAACTTCTGAACGACTCAAGTGATCGGAATGAAATTTGCAGCGGAGATTTAACTTCAGATGTAGGTGTACTGTGCAAACTTTGAGCTCCCTAAAACAACTTCACATACTTGCATAAGGAGATGTGCCACTCTTCGTTAAGAAATCTATGATATGCCAATGAAGCTAGTAAGCATCATTTTAACTGCTTGAGAATAAAGTGGGGGATGTGGGACTTTGGGCTATCTAGTTTTTATAACTCTAATAAAGATATTCCAGGAAAAGTGACTACCTCAAAATATGAGATGCATATCTGTCATATGTGAATTTTTGAAAACATGCTTTTTTCTCAATGAGGACTTTAATGTAAAACAAAATAATGTAGATAGCCAGATTCCCCAGTAAATTTAAGTTCAGAAACACCTTGATTGTGGTATCAGAATAATTTTACTTTCGGACAAAAGATTCCTTCGTATGAAATTTGCAGCAAAAAGTGGAATTGAGAAAATTGCATTCAAACATTGAACTCCTTTACTTTGTTACTGCCTCACACGGTGTTGAAAATATTTTATATCAACATAGCTATTTGGCGCATAGTTATGAAATTTAGTGTAAGAGTGTATGTAATTAGTTTCTAAAACTGAAAACCTCAGCATTGAAAAATGAGTTTTTCAAAAAAATTTTAAAACTTGGGCCCATGTCCGCCCTTAATGAGACATCGCCGTACAATGATTTGGCTCTGGCATGGTCTACAGGAAACAGAATATGCAGGCCTTCTTCATAAACAGGTGAGGAGCATACGAGAGGAAATAAGCTGAAGACTGCAATATCTGCAGAAAAAGGAGACGAGAAAGTACCTCAGGGTGGTCCGTGTTCCAATCTCGCCCAGTTCCTGGAGAGACTCCTCGTCGACCTCGATGCCTTCCGTCTGGGCCCTGATCCTGAGAATCTGGATGACCAGAAAAGCGCGCAATTGCAGCCGGAGTAGGGTGTATTTCTTCCAGAACCGTTGTCTCTGGCACAACCTACCTTGACCATCTCTTCTTGGGAATAGGGCAGGGTCCGGACAATCAGCAGCCTGTCCAGCAAGTCCAAAGGAATTCCGTGGGGCGATACAACATCCTCCGTGCCCCTGAGGGTTGTCGAGAGCGGAAAATAAGAGAATGATTCGAGCAATGCTCGAGACATGTGATGAGGTTCCCCATATCCGAGAGTAGAATTAAAGCTGAAGACCTAACTGCAAGGCATTAATAAATGGAAGATGAAGACAACTTGAGCGCTCAGAGAAAGTTTCATTTTGTACATATAAAACAAAATTGCAACTCGGATCCCTAACAGAATCGGTAAATGCGTCTTCCTGCCGCATCGTGCCAAGATGTCGGTACACTGAGCCGCTTGCACCTCATTTTGGGATTGGAGATGCTGGTGGATCCAGGCAGGTGCACCTAGGAACCCGGGCAACCCATGATTCCAAAACAAATGGCCGACAGTCCGTGTCCCAAAAATAAAAAAAGGGAAGGCTGTAGCGAGGAAGCAGCCGAAAGTTCATATTGGAGCAGCAAAAATAACTTTTTGAGCATGGGTACACTCTTCATTTTCCTTCATACTACTGCAAATATTGTGCTATAGAATGGTGAACCGAAGTTTGTATATCAAGAAAACAATGTAAAAGATGTAGGCGGTACACTTCAACCCCTACAACACTACTCATAAGGCGATATCTCGAATGGACAGCCATATTTTCGGAAAAAGAGGTTGAGATTGAACCAGGCCGAGCAGGCGCGTGATGTGAAGATATCTTGTTTCCTCCACTCTTCGCTTCGTCCCCTCAAAGCAGCGAGGCGGAGAAGACGCAAAATCCTTCCCTCTCCTTCTCGGAGAAACAAGACGTAAACATATCTGTCAAATGCGTCTCCTTTTTTAAAAAAAAAAAATACGGTCATCCATTTGAGATGTTGTATGAGTGATGTTTTGGTGTTTGTAGCATCCCGTTGCACGCTCTTGCAGCGTGTTTTACTTTGCAGTTTGAAATTAGTTTTCTTTCCGCCTGAAAACCGCCGATCGAGAACTGGCCGGTTTAAATCGCGCTCACTCTCTTCTTCGTGGTCCCATGCCATTCTCTATGGTTTAGATACACACAACAAAAATGATAGAAGTCGTAGGTCATCCAAGGCACACACTCAATATTAAATATAGAAAAAATAGGATAGCCATTTATTGTGGCTTCTAAAAAGCTGCAAATATGTTGATTGAAAAAAAAAAAAAAGTTAGACAGAGAACCGGAACCACTTTGTGCATTCTCTGCGTAATTTTCAACATGGCATCGTGGGCTGGATGGCTGATAGAAGCGGAGTAAGCGATGGCGGCAGACGACGGGCGTGGGACCAGAACTGTTGTTTGCGGTACCACCGAATATGTCTGGCTTCGAAAGAAAAATCTTTTACCGATCAAAACAATTGAGATCTATTCCGTACGATACGCCCGACCACCAAGCTGATTCGCACGAAGACGTCACCGAGATGCTGCCCCTTCTCCTGGATGAGGACATTGCTCGCCTTATGAACATGAATTGGTAAAAGCTTGAAAAACGCACACACGTCAAGCACTTTGTGCCTGACGTTTGTTTGCCTTCTTCGTCTGCTTCGCATGTAAAAAAAATGTAGGAAAAAGAAAGAAAAAGAAAACGCAGTTTGACGCAGCCACACGACTTCCAGCAACTCCCTCCCCCTCTACATTTCTTCTTCCTTCCCCATTCAATTTCGATTTTAAGCAGTCGCATTTTTTTTTTTTAACTTTATTAAAAATATATGTGACGCTGTAGCAAAATATTGATTGGACAGTCTTTGACAGCCTATTAAATCACGTGGCAAACAATAAAATTTTTTTTTTTTTGATGGTTTTAGCGTTTAAAGTTATTTCCAAGCTTCTATCCACTGCTCTAGATAATTTAGTTTTATTGTATTCTCTTGACTGTGCCATTGAATAAATATGAAGCCGTATAAAGGTAATAACTAAACAAGAGAGTTGACATGAAAAATAAACTTATAAATAGGGTTCTTCGTTTTCGGGCTTTATTTCTATTCTCACGTCCTTGAAATCATTTCTTGAATGGGGGATATTTTTTTTTTTTTTTTTTTCAATTCTACGTCACACTATTGAAATCACTTTTTTTTTTTTTTTTTTTAAATTTTTCTTCAAATTGTTTTAGACTACGAACCTATAGAGAAAAGCACATACCAGAAAATCAAGGTTAAGCCGGATGGCCCCAACAGGAAAATGGGCAAAACCCATTGAAGAGTTTGGGTGCTTTGAACCCCTAAATGAGGCCAGATGGAGAATAATGGGGACACAACCATCGGAATAATATAATACTTAGCAAACGCTAAAATAGTCGTTGACAAAAATAAAGCCCAAAAATGACGAACCCTATTTTTGGCAGGATGTGGCAGGGTAAGCACTTTGGCGCAAATGGCACAACAATCACATCACTGCTCTCACGTTCAGAAATAAGTTTAACATGATGCAGTGATGTGATTGGCCTAAGTCATTTTGGAGCACCTTTCGCAGCAGCAAAGACAGAGTTTTGGAGCAGCAAAATGTGGCCTTTGGAGCAACCAAAACAGTGCTTTGGACCAGCAAAAGTGGCTTTTGAAGCAGCCAAAACAGTGTTACGGAGCAGCAAAAGTTGCTTTTGGAGCAGATATTCTTATAAAAATAAAAATAATTGTTTTAAGTGCTGTACAAATGAAGGGCACTTTGTGTTGTGACTTGTGTAGTGTTCTAATGTGATGTGTTGTGACGGAACTCGCAGCTTGTGTTTTTACTGCTGAGGCATCCCACAAGTGTACAATGCTGTAGGCGTTGCCGAGCGATTCCGCAAAACCTCTTGCCACCGTTTTACTGCTTCGACGTATTAAATTTTCGTTAAAAGTAAGCAAACGTAAAACAATGGATCGCAAGCGTCCCGACTGGTGCATCTGCCGTGCAATCAAGTTCGCAAACACGTAAGGGCAACTTCAGCAGGCTTGCAGTTGCGCGTGCTTTGTTGCGCGAGCGGAAACAGCGGCTGTTCCATTGAAACCGAAACCATGTTACTTTGCTCCGTCGCCAACTGATTCCCAAAATTGTATGCAAAATGTAACTGTCGAGCGTGTGACTAAACGTCATATGCTCGACAATAACGCGCCGCTGTCCAGCGGCGCGTTATTGTCAGGCAGGCAAACAAGGTGCAAGCTAAACACATTAAAAAAAGCAAAAAAGAACCAGAGCGGATCGATGCCAGATATCGCAAGCCAAGGTCAAAAAGATTTTGGGTCGCATTGTGCGACGACTGAATTCGAGATAAACAAGTGCGCTGTGCGGGTTCAGCGTGCAGACATTGCCTTCTTCGCTTTAGCTCACTTCGCTTAACTAACTTTCTTATCGCGGCAGATTTTTCACGCACTGGGGTCCCGCTCGAAAGAAAGCCGATCGAGAGAAACTTAGGTAATCAATACTTCGACACAGTAGTCTTTGAGTTAGAGAGGGATTTTTGTAGTAATGAATGATTTAAACAAGAACAGGGATGTTGTTGAACATGCGGCGGGTACTTAGTTTCATTTTAGAGAGTGCCATATGTGCAGCGACGTGAGGACGGCAACACCCGACGTCGACCACGGTGACTGGAAGGCAGGGACCAAATATAGTTTTCCCACGGCTGTTGCTTTTAGGAGCGAGTGCTTCAGCTGCGCAAAAACGAGGTTTCGTTTCACAGCATGACAGCATGGCTGGTACCCGTCACACTAGCGTCGGAGCGTCCGCACACACCCGCGTCTATCGTTGAAAATATATATAAAAAAAAAAGATGCGAGACAAGACCCACAAGACGACGAGAGCACGAAATGCGAGACGGCGGAAAAACCATGCAAGACCGGGTGGACAATTGATGCAGGGTACTTTGTGTCATACGTCCTCTTGTGCCACATAACACACGCATGCTCAATTACGGTGCTCAGTTTAGTTTCGGTTTTGAAAGGCGACCGAAACTGTCTTTTTGGCGCAGGCTTGGCGCAGATTACCCATATTTTGGCAAAACGTAACAGGATGTAGCAGGGTTAGCCCCTTGGCGAAGTTTGACGCAGCGACCACGTCACTGATGATGAACAAAATATGCTAATGACAACTGCATGTTTGTTGAACAGGTGGCTATATTGGTTGCTCCAAACGGCCGATTCCAGGGAGCTCTCATAGAACGCAAAGCGTCTCGGGAGATTTGGAGATCTGGTAAATGGTTAATTTGTTTCAAATAATGTTTTGGTGTCTTTTTGTACAAAAAAAATTGGTGTCTTCGTGGTTGACATTTAGACAGTGTAGACAGCTGGACAATAAAATGGGCACTAGAATTCTGTTTCAGTACTAATGTGTGCGGGCCTCCCCACTTGACTTGTGAGCAGCCCCAGCCTGAACGCCGCTGGTCCAGCTCATATTGTCACACCCTGCACTTCACGCCCACGGGGGTCTCACCATCGCGGGGTTCAAAATGTTTGTAGTATGTTACAAGTAAACAAGAAGTAATAAGCAAATAGAAGAGGGCTGACCTGATGGTGCAACGACCACGGTTGGTTGCGAAGATGACGATGGGCGCTATGGAGGATTCGAGGGCCCGGTGCAGGTAGGTGAAGCACTCAATGTCCAGCATGTGTACCTCGTCTATGAAGAGCACGCCCGGCACCAGCTCTGCTATGCCCTGATCAATGTACTTGTTCACCACCTTGTTGATCTCCTTCCTCAGCTTGTCTGCAGGGAAATGAATGGCATCAAGGTTTAAGGGTTTATCCAGGATTATCAATATGTGTGTGTGTGGTGGGGGCGGGGGGGGGGGGGGGGGGGGCATTACAAATTTCTGGGAGGGCTGTGGGGCAGATGTACACCATAGCTTTGTGGGCTTGGTGTAGTAAATTCTATGGGGGGGGGGGGGGGGGGGGTGCTGGACTCATCCTGGGGGTGTGCTAGTGTGTCATTAGAGTATTAACCACTGAACAGTACCAACCAAAAAATTGGTCAGCTTGCAAAGTTCTTCACTCCTCTGCTGAGTCTTCCGCAAAGACTCCCCAGGTCAGTGGTACAAAAATATTCGGAGGTGCTGATGACGGCCGCATTGCACTGGACTCCTCAAACATCTTTTCGTTCACGTTTTGGCCAACCACTTATATAGTAAAACTCTCCTATTTCAAACCCTTGTGTGTGTGTGTCTGGGTTGTGCACATTTGGGATGTACCTGGTGACGGGATATAAGTAATTCTCTTTTGAGCAGCAGAGGAAGTTGTTTGTGTTTGTATTACACCGTCGGTGGAAAATAAGTGACAGGAACCTGGAGAAGTGGATTAGCCAAAGCTTTGTTTGTTTGTTTGTCTATAATGCCAGCATTCACTTTGATTGCCAAAGCAGGGAGTCGTACAAGTGTAACCAAGCACCATACCAAGGTAACCATGGATAAATAACAGTACAGTGAATTAGCTATGCGACAAAGTGCTTATATAGAGCACCATTAAAAGTAGCAATTGACAACTAACTAACAACACCCTTAGGAAGCTTGTTCTATTCATTCACAGTACTGGGGAAAAAGGAGGCTTTAAACAAAGTGGTTCTACAGAACGGTTCAGTGAGAGGTGGTGTTTGTTTAGCGCGGGCCTAGTTTCATTAATTGCTGTGCAATGGTTAAAACATAAATGCAAATTGTGTAGAGCACATTAAAAAAAAATATAAGGCGGTCTAGTTTTCGTCGTGTTGCTAAATCACACAATCCAACATACAAGTCGGAAATTGAAGACATGAAACTATACAGATCATAACAAAACACAGTGCTTTCTTTTGCACTGCATACAGATTAAAGACAGTTTGGGGGGAGGGGAGGGGGGGGGGGGGGGGGCAGACAACTCTAACATTGGTCTGATAATAGCTTTATAGACGGTCAACTTAGTTTCAGAAGTGCAGTGACAAAGAATGTGTTTTAAAAACCAGTTTCTGCATAGCTTTCTTGGCAATGTAGTTTACATGTAGTTTACATGGGCATTCCAATTTAGAAATGAAGTGATTAAAGGGATACTGAACCAATATTTCAAACTCACAAAACAGGGCTGGAGTGATAGGCAGGGCACTGCAGAACTCAAAAACACCACTTATGCAGCGGTATCTCTAAAGAATGGCCGTATTTTTGGAAAAGAAATGCGCGAGTGAATACGGCCGACGAGACATGTGACGTCCACTCTTCTTATTCCCTCTCGTCGCTTCGTCCCGTCGAGCTGGTGAACCAAAACAAGGAAAAGAGAAGCGATGCCATTTCCCTTCATTCTCAACTGTTCCAGGAGGATCGCGACGTCGAAGTCCTTGTTTGATAGCGCCCTTCTTTTCCAAAAATACGGCCATCCATTTGAGATGTCGATTTATGAGTGAGGTTTCCGAGTTCGTAGCATCCGTTCAACGCCTCTGAGGCCTTATTTTGTGAAATCCAAATTTCGGTTCAGTATCCCTTTAAGACACCGAGTTATTGAAATCGATCAACAGACACCAGTGATTCGGCGTTTATACTGTAACAGTCTGTTCCCGGTGGGATCGCCAGAGGTTTTTACCAGACGTGTTCATCTGAAGTTTATGAACACCGGGAAAACCAAGAGAATTGAGCCAAGATTAAATGTCTAATTACTGCTTATACAGCACAATTTGTGTAACAGTTTTTGGTGGGAAACGCAATCAAAAGCTTTCGCGAAATCTAGGAATATTACGTTAGTTTGACCGCCTGCTTCAATGGTAGCCGAAAATTTGTGTATCGTGTGAACTGACTGAGTTACTGTGAGCATTTCGTATCTGAACCCATGCCGTTCATCCTGAAAAAATTCACAATTTTCGAAGAATACATTTAGATGCTTAAAAATTATTTGTTCAAGTATTTTACTAAACATAGACAATGGAGAGATAGGTCTGTAATTGACGATACAGTGACTGTCACTGAATCGTATCACTGTCACTCTATCACAGGCACAGTGACTGTGCCTGTGCTGAGGCTATGGCACTAAATCAAGTGCAGAAACTTAGCTGACCATTCAGCGTACCTAAAGAGAAAAATGTTTGGTATATTATCAGGGCCCCTGCTATTTCTGATAACAAAATCAAGCATGGCTGCCAAAACGCCTTTCTCGGAAATGGTAAATTCAAGTATAGTTCTATGAGGAACATCATATTCAGAAAAAATCCCTGGACCGGCAGTAAATATAGAAAGTAGTCAAAGCGTTAGAAATCAATTGCTTCTCATAAGAAGTGCCACTGGACAGTTTCATGTCTTTAATAGTAGACATTTGTTTATTTTTTTTTTTAAATCTCAGAAATTTCTTATGTAATGTAAACTAACCATGTAATGTGGCATTAAAATATTGTATTTAGCATTTTTGACTGACGCCTTTAACTGCCTGCACGGAGAAGTTATTGAACAAGTATTATGTGCATTACCAAATTTGTGAGCTCGACGTATTCTGATCCATGAGTTGTGCTTTTTCACCCTCTTGACATGCAATAGAACATGTCTCTGGATGCAATATTCTACCGTATACCTAAACCGCAACCACAAACGTTTAACAGTTAACAGTTTTAAATATAACATAGAATTGAGAAAAGTTTTCCTCCAAAGCATCCAGAATGATTGAAATCACGAAATTGCTTAACGTCAACGGTAGCAGACGGCTTACAGGCTAAGGTAAGACTGCAAGAAACGGGTGTGATCCGAAATGCCTTCAAGTATTTTGCAGCAGGCGCCTTACCGAGCGATCTTAGAGGAAACGAGGACCAAGCCGAGTAGACTCACAGGCGTTAGTAGACCGTGTAGGACTATGGACGACCTGAGTAAGCTTTGTGTGGGGGATTAGTAAAAGTGCCAGTTACACATTAGCCCTATAAACAATGCCTTATGTTGTGGGAGCCACCGGTTCCACTCCCCCGAGAAGGCATAAGCCGCGGACGTTCCGGCCGGAGTTGTCTGGCTTCGAGCCGGCTCATTCCGTATCGTGTCGGAGAGAGCACGCCACCATGCTGGCTTACTCTCTCGCACTCCCCCGATTTCGGGGGAACAGCGAGATCGCGCGGGGGAGAGTTGGGCCTGCCCTCCAAGTGGACGGCCGTGTGGTCAAGGAGTCCTAGATTGGACTCCAGGAAACAGATTGGGTCGCGGTGCGAGCTAGTCCAACCGGCGATGACTCCACGCTAGTGATTCCCCTGGCTCTGACAGTCGGCATCCCCACTACCTGTGGACGTCCGTCTGCCGAGAGCCCTGGCCCCGAACTCCTGCGACGACGGGTAGCGGCGTGAGCTTGTCTGACTGACGATGACTCCGCTCGCAATTACCCCTGTTTGCAGACTGCAGCGCCCACCTCAGGTCAGTGGGCGCTGCGGGCACACTGTGTCCACGGCTCGCCTGACCGCAGTGTCTTGTTGGGGACCCCTGGTACTCAATAAACGCTGTTGGATATCGGGATCATCGTTGTTGGCATGGCGTTGAACGAACCTGGCGCGGCGACCGCCCTCGCTGGTAGCCGTCGGCCGCGCGGTGGGACGGGCATCGGATTTCCCCTTTGAGCACCGCTCCCCGGTTGTGAAAGGTATGTGGTCGGCCCCCTCATTCCCCACAATGTTGAGCATGCTATGAATAAATCGAGTGTTTTCAGTGGCACAGGTGGTTCTAGGGAGGTGGAGATGTGCATGGTGATGCAAGAAGTGGGCAGCCAAAAAAACAAGCGACTGATGCAAATGTGAACAAAGTATGAACCCTCGTGCTCCCGGAGTAAAGATCAGGTGTGCGACTAAAAGCAAGACTGAAACTGAATATGAATAGGGGGACAGTGTGAAAGATTCTAAGCATAAGTTTGGAAATGAGAAATATTTCTAAAAAAACGGTGCCTCCAATCTTTCATGCATTTTCCATTATGCAAATGCCCCTGAGCATGATCTGTTGAAATTGCACGAGTTCCTGGCTAAAAATCTATCACAAAAATGCACCATCCACCCATCCACTTAACGTAGCCCACTGCAATGTTTAGTTCTTTCAAAATTAAAAAAAAAAAAAAAAAGAAAAACGTGAAACAGCGAAGATTTCTTGTCGTTTCCGACATCCAGTGCAACACGACAACATGACTTCGAGGTATTCTGGAAAAAGAATTCCAAAAATGCTTCCGGCGATGGCGCCATCGCCTGACAAAGTGGACAGCTTCGCAAAGGAAGTACTTTGAAGGTGACAGCAGCTGCTAGTGTACAGGCAAGCAAACTCTGCTTTCGCGGGGCCATTCCACGTAAAATGTAACACCTGATATTGCCACGCACGCAGCATTAAGTTTCTAGGCACAATTTCGTCTCATGAAAAATTTATTTTTAGTTCCACATTCCGCTGCCATTTTTATTTGCGACAGTATTTGCTATGTTTTGTCGGGGTCTCCATTGATGCCATTTGGCACTGCTCAAAGAAAATGTTCAGCTCACCAAGATCACCCAACTACTTCTCAGTGGAATGTGCTTGCACTCAAAAGGAGACGAGAATGACTGCCATGGCATTGAATGGTCGAGCAGAGGTGGCAAACAATAACAGAACCGGACCATACAGTCTAACTACAGCCTCCATCCAGGTACTCTAGTGCATAGGGCATGGTATCGAAGCTGCAAGTAAAAACCAAAATGGCAGCGACTCACTTCACAGTGGCAGTCTGCAAACGGTGGAAGCGACACAAACCAATGAAGAAAAATATAGCAACATTTTGTACAATGTTTAAATTTGAGTTGTTATACACCAACACCATGAGATGAGTGACGGTATTGCAAACATGCCTGAGTAATCAAGCAGAGCAGAAACTTTGGTGGCCAAAAAAATTGGTTGGCGACTGTACATGAACCATTTGTAAACCTTCTGCTACCGCATAGTGAGCGAGTGGACAACTCACCGGTGATCTCCGTCTTGCGTGGCTTCATGAGCTGTCCCATCATGGAGAGGATGTCCTGGCCTCCCTGGGGCCTGGCATTGGCAACGTCCAGATCGTGCAAGGTCACGTCCTGGATGACGTCCTTCTTCTTGTGCACGTCTCCCTTTGGCAGCGGCACATATTCTTCAGCCTAGGAAGAGCAGGAGGCATCTTTCATAAGCCTCTTGGAAATAAATTGTTTTATGCGACAGATCTATGTTGTGAGTCGCTCTATGTGGTCTAACCAACGATGACAGTAGAAAAAGGTGCAGGCAAGCTGATGAATTAACTTCGTAATAAGAAACCCAAGACTACCGTAATATCCCAAGTCATCACCCACCCTCCGCCGCCATAAATTCATAAAAAAAAGAAAAGTGGGCCATGTCTCAGTGGGTAAACACAAAAAGTTTAGAAAAAGCTAAAGAAAACGCCCATTTTTTTCGTACATATATAGCGCGGGTGCACAAGAGGTAAATGAAACTCAAAACTCGAATTAGTTTCATAGTTTTATGCAAGAAATGCTCATGAAAGAATGCTTTACTATTGCAGAGCCCATTGCTTGCATGTACGTGATGAACACCGCTGATCGGCATACATGTTTGTTCTATGAAAGTATGTTTCTAACACCGCTACATTCTCATTAGTTAAAAAAAGAAAAAAAGGAGTTGACCAGTAAATAGGAAAACGAATCAGGTGCAACAAGTGAGTGGGAGAAAGAAGCGACGAAGAGCGATGTGGGTGAAGCGGGAAAGCAAGCGATCGCGTGGCAAATACTTTGGCGTCGGCCAAGTTGGGCGTCCAGTCAATCACAGAAGCAGGCTCTTGTGCAACTTCCTTGTTTGGTGCACACATGTGTACATCCGTGTGCGGCATGCTGCTATCAACGCGGGTTGAGGCGGCATTGCTGCGTCGCATGGACGGCACTATGAACAAGGAGCTCGAAAAGGGACGCTTCACTAACGTCTGTGTGCATATTCCAGCAAATCTTTATTTACCTGTTGACTCTGTCTCGAACATTGCACAACCTTACCAACCGCGGTCGCGACATACCGGGAGAAGGAACTGGTTCGCGGTGAGCTTATTTTGGTGGAGGCGGACCTTGACCTTACACTCCACGGTTACATTCCAGGCTATGGGGCGTTCGCTGACCTAGCTATCCCTGAATGGGTTACTGCTTGTGCCATCTTTCATTTTTTTTTTTGTCAGTACAATTTTTTTTTGTAAGCGAAACAAAGTTTTGGTTTGTTATCTCCATCGTTTTCCTTTTGAACGGATGCACTCCTACTTCAGAGTTGCGGAAATCGGGGAGGAAACGCGTAGACAAAGTAAAGTGTCTCTCCACCTTCGTTTCACTTTGTCTAGGACATCCTCCAACTGTAAGGTTGGAGGATGTCCTAGACAAAGTGATGTCCTAGACATTCGGCTGCGTCATTAAGGTAGGATGAATGTTGCGGATTGCGGAGTCAGTGCTGGGGTATTTGTAGGGGTGGGCGAGCACTTGGTGTGGTTTCTGGAAATCAATATTCCCCCCAAAAGTGGGGCGGGCAATGACTCGGATATGGGCGATGACTCGAGATATTAAGGTAATAACAAAAAAAAAAAAAAAAAAACAGTGTGTGATTGTTTGTCTTTTTATTTGTTCCCTGTCTCGTGTTTATTTTTATGAGGCTATCTAGTTTGTTTTGCAAGCATTCCAAATTATTCTTTGTACTAAACTACTGCAGATGTAATGCGTAAAATGTTAAACTAGAATTGCAGTGAATGACATTGGTTGTTGCATGCCGGGACACTGTTTACAGAGTTACTGCTAAAAGGTAAGCTAATAAAGATGGGAACCATGCATGTGAGTCTCCATGCTCTTTACAAAACTAAGCTATCCACAAAAAAATCAACAGAAAAAGTAAAAAAAAATAATAAGAGCAGGTGCACCCTATTACTATGGTTGCTGTTTCATCTGTCAAGCAGCTAAACTTGTGGATCGCATCAGTGGGTGCATCAGGCATTTTGTTGACTAGTCTAATGGAAATGTTGGCCCATTTGGTCAGACGACTCAGGCGTGACTACCTAGGTGAAGCTCTCTAATTCTATACACTGAGTTTCAATCGAAGTTGTAATTTACTTGCATACTAAGTCGAGTCAAAGTTGCATACTAAGCCTTACCTCAAGATCAAACTCGGTGGCATATGCATCAGATCTCCCTTGTCTCTGGAAAAAGCAATTACAGGTGAATAAGACGGGTGAATAAGACATGGCATATTACAATTCTGTTTTTTAACGTCCTACACAGGAGATTACCTTTACTGCACCGCTGTTGGCCTCAATGTAGATGACATCCCCGACTTCCACCTTCTCTCTCTGAAGACTCTCGTAAATGGTAGGATCGAGCTTGAGTTGCTTGGTGCCCTTGGCAGTTTTGAGTCCAATGATGACATGGCTGACGGTCTTTCCATACCCTTCACGACAGAAAATAAGCCAATATGTTCACATGCCAATGCAACACTTTATCAAAGCTGTGATAGCCAGGCAGGCACATGTTACATACCAAGTGTATCATGAAGGGCCAGCCAAACGTTTTGTGCAAAAACTGTATCGTAAGATACTGAGGGAGTGCCCACTCAAAACTGGGGGGATGGGCACTTGCTAGGTCCAAGAGCGAAAAGGCAGGAGCACACAGTTGGGTGGGCACTTGTTTGGCATGACCACTGAACTCAAAATGGCCACTGTTTGCCTTGATAGATGAGCGCGTTAGCGCGCGAAAACAGAACCTCAGTGTTCTTTTCATAGACTAAAAAGTGCCCTACGATGCTCAACGCAGTTTTCGCATCGGCAGAACTCGGCACAAAAACTGTGCAACTGTCCATAGGCCTAACCACTTCCACAATTTCACTGTTTGAAATTGAACCCCAGGCCGCGGCATGTCCGTTGACATAAATATATTCGATGTACGCAACATGTCCGAGGGCCAGGCAATTGCTCGGCCCTAATTTTGTTGGCCGTGTGCGTCTGCGGTTACACTGTTTATCGCTTCCGCAACTTCCCACTTGCATCCATAACTCAAGTGCTTGTGCTACCATGCCTGGTTTGGCTTGGACTGGCCGCTTGGCGGCTGAGCGGGAAAATAAAAAAAATCAATATTGACGATTGTTGTGCGGGGTGCATTCGTTATGCGAGTAAATAGGGTTTATTGATAAAAATTAAAAAGTGATTGACTGCACACCATCTAGTCTGTAACTAAAGCCACTTCCCACGTGCTATAAACTGGCTATTTTTGTGCTGTCTGCCAGACGCAGAGATAACGGCCGCCCACGACGATTAATGTGCCTTTCACATTATTTTGACCTTAGTTTTCTAATTGTTTCAAAAGTATGGGTTGGGCGCTTATTCTAACATGAATGCATGCTCGTCACTTTTCAGTAATGCACAAAAATAAAATTGGTACCATAGTAGCCACTGTCGGTGACCCATCTAGTGAGCTATGTAGCATTTAGGACAATTAAGTCTTTAGTTGGTTCTGCATAATTAATCTTTCGATTAGTAGAAATAAGGATATAGTTCCAATTGGCAAACTGCTGAGCGACATAGAACACCACTTAATCAGACAAATTTAGAAAGGTTCGGAGCGCATACATTGCTTTTCTGGTTCCAGAAAACGCAGTCTATATTCATGTGCCTGCACAGTCTTTTTGTTTCTTATCCCCCACATTTTTGCTCTGTCAGTCTTTCACCTTGCAGCCCAAGCAGCAACTTCTGTGTACCACCAGTACCACACTGCCCATGCACTTCAAGCCTTTCTAAAATTGATTGATATAGTGGTTGTCGATGGCACCTAGCAAGTTTCTTATTGGAATCATTGGTGTATTTTTAAATTTGATAATTTATAACCAACTGTGGACTTTATTATACAAAATATTGATATGGCATCAACTTTTTCTATGCAAAAATGATCTTACCAGTGTTTCTGCAAGGAAAATTCTGGCCAGGAGCCAGTAAAACACTTGGTATAACCCCTAATTAAAGTTGTACAGGTAATGATGTTATATTGTTTAAAGGGGCCCCGCAACAACTTTTTGATTGGCTTTTAATTTGCACCGAACCTGAGCGCACTGAACGTAGTAACTTAAAGAAACTTCTCTTTTCTCAAATTTTGCTTTATTTTAAAAGTTATAGGCAAATTAGAATTACAAAAACAAGCAAAAAATAACCTCCTTCATGACGTCGTAGGTCCTGGCTTGAGTGGCCGTGAACTAGAGGAGGAGTAGTGAGCTCATCGAGCACTAACGGCTGCCGCACTCCGTGTTGACGGCTCGAGAGGGCGCCACTAAAGCACGTGGTGGATAGGCTGTATGAAGTGAGCGGCCAGGGCGGCTTGCATTGCATTTGCTGCGCGATTAAAGACTAATTCGGCATAACACTTCATTGGCCACAAACGACATCAAACACGGGGTAAAGAACAGTTCAGAACGGGAGCCACTTCGCGCTGCCATACCACCAAATGGCCAAATCGCCAGCCAAGCCCGCGCCGAAAGCCGTTGGAACGCTCGGACCCTCGAGCCGGTATACGACCGCAGCGCCGTCGCGTACATCCGGGACCTTTCTATGATCGTCGTTCGTCTGAGCCTCGTCCGACTAGCCCTTTCTAGTATGCGCCGTTTTTTCCGACGCTTGGTGGCGGGTTTGTCGACGGGTCATTTCTTGGTTCCGTACTTTATAAACTGCATTTGTTTCTTTTCTGATCTAAAATACTGAACAAAAACTACTTTCATACATAATTGAAACGGTTCGCGACACTTATATTTTGTATCTCGACTAAAAAAAGCTTTTAGTGGTTCTGACCAGTAGTAAGCCCAGGACCAAAGACGTCACATATTGCGCGCTTTCGGCAACACGGGCCGCCCTCGTAGGTGGAGGAGGTTTCCGCGTCTTCCAATTAAAATATGACGCACTGATATTTAGTGACTCTCTCCGTGCCCGCCGGCTTGCCCGAACCCCATGAGACGTGGAAACCGCAAAAAAGGTAGATGCTTAAATATGATTGCAGGGCCCCTTTAAGTGTCCATGGACACATTTAGAATAGTGCTAAGTGCCCCTATTAAAACATGTAATCAAATGCATAATGATTTGTGGGGAGAGAGCAAGGTTTGTTCTTTCAATTTATGAATACATTCATTAATGGCTTTAAATACAAAAGTTATTTTTCAAAGAAAGCGGCCTTGGCATGGCACTTATAAGGGGAAAATAGTGAAGCTGGGTAATTCGATCTCTCGACAGGTCGTCAGAAGCAGCTGTGTTCCTGCATTGCATGCATGTATCTCCCTAATATGCGGCACCTTATCGTAATAGGTTTATAATAAGTCTTTGTAGTAATAAAAAAAAACAAAAAAATTGATACACAAAAATATGTTGAAAAAAAAAAAAACCTGAAGAGGATTTTAATTTTTTAATAAAATACTGATTCTTGCCAAATAATAAAAATACCACAATTCATTGTCTTTTTTTTTTACATGTTTGACAATTTAGTATTAGAGAATTTGCATCATACAGGACTCACAAACAAAGGAATTGTTTGCTCTCCCCCTATGCTGTATCAAGCTTCCAAGTTTGTAAGGTTCATCAAGCCATCAGTGAAACACGCCCACACTTTGCGGCCCCAGCCCATTTGAAAGCAAAGGCCGCTAAAAAGCCTACAGAAGCCGTAGCATTCTCACCGCCCATGGGATTTTCAGTTTCGCACGGAGTTAGTTCAGTCACTTCTCCTTCATAGACCTCCTTGGTTTCCTTAATCCGAAGACCTAAGAAGGAAAACGAGAGAAATTTTGTGTGTTGGATTTGCAGGATCAAACTAGGATCCACCGTGCTTTAGTGTTTATCTTTTGAGCCCAACAGTCGCTGCAGCAAGGAATTGCAGCAAACATACTAGAGTCGGTGACAGGTCAAGAACGAAGTGGAAGCTCCTCCCACCTCTTACCACTTTAGCAGAGCGAACGCTGGAGAGGAGGCGACCTCCTCTCCACCGTTCGCTCCACTGAAGTGGAAAGGGGTGGGAGGAGCTTCCACTTCGTTCTTGACCTGTCACCGACTATAGTTTGTTTCAAAAAATTACTGCGAAAGGTAAAACGAAAGGGTTTGTAATACACCAAAACCTCTTACCAATGGCTCGCCTAAAGTTCTCCATAAGAACTTCCGTTTTCTTCACTTCGGACGAATAAACTTCACTTCCAACCATCGGGCAGAAGGGGACTTTTGTGCCAAGTTCTTGCGCAATGGCCAGGGCAATGGCCGTCTATAAAAACGAAACGACATTTTTACTGGCAAAACTGTAACCCGAGCAGACCCAGACTTACAACCACTAAAATCCAGTCGTAGTCACCAGTTCATAAAGAAAGACAGGCTACTTTCTTTTCTAAACATTATAAGACAATGACTACTTTATTTCACCAATAACGTCTCCAACTGTTGTAGATCTGCATGCTAGAACTCGAGTACTCACATACCAAGTTAATGTAAACGGTTGATACGTGGATAACGTACCTTTCCGGTGCCTGGTGGTCCAGCAAACAGAACGGCCCTGCCTGCCATCTTTTTGGATCTGATGAGCTCGATAATGATTCCCGCGGCCTACAGAGATTAAGGGGCAGAGATTACAAAACGTTTCAGAAGCTAAGCAGAAACCCATGCTTTCTCGCAGCGTGGTGAAATTCGTCCAATGCGCAAGGACTTTATTCAGGGTGTGATAAACGTTAAGGTTGCAGTTTTAACACACGTCGACGCCTATTTTACGTAAATATCACGCCAGAAGGATGAAAACAAAAACGAATTGTTGATTGTTCGCAGTTTAAACCGGTGTTCAGAACGGAAACTTCGCATACCTCTCTCGCTTGTTCTTGACCGACGAGGCCGCAGGCCACGGGTAAAGCGAGGCCATTTTCATCCAAGCCGATGCCTTTAACATGGCTGTGAGCGGCGATTCGTTGAGTTTTTGTCGTACTTTTCACTTCTTCGATCTTCATTGTCATCGAAGATGCTCAACGTCAACGATAAACTCGCACACACGCCGACCGCAACAAGCAACAACGAAACGAGCGAAACGCAACGAATGCGCAATGTAGTCAACCGCCCAGGAAGTTTTTCGCCATTCTTAGCGCGGAAGGGCATGGAAGGGTTCCAATATCCTTTGCTGGATATTCAATTGCTACGAACTAAATAAAATGTTATAAACATTTGAAAGTGTGAATAAATATATTCGCACGTTTAATCAAAAATAACCCAAGAAGCTAAAAAAAAAAAAAAAAAGCAGAGCAAAGAATTTGACGTATGTCACCCTTGATGTCACCATTGGTTGAAGGATTGCCCGCGAATTTGAAATCGACTAACTCTCACGACTGCGCTACTGTGTTCTAACCGCCGAATTCACTAACCTCACTCCAATTAAAGGGCCTATCCACTTCCTCGAGGAAGTGGAGGGGCCCCCCAAATTGGAGTGAGGTTTGTGAATTCGGCGATAACTCTAAAAAAGCGGGGAAGTGTTTTAATTGTTCGGCCTCCCAGCGCAAGCTTCCTTCCGTCTATGACATTTCGGCGTATCGTGAGTGTCGAGCGCATACGGGCAGCCAAAGCAGAGCGAAAGGCAACGAGCGCGGAGTGGAGGCGTACCAGGGGCTTCCCCAGTAATTGAAATTAGGGGGGCGGCGGTTAGGGGGGGGGGTCATTGAGATTAGAGGAGTCGTTGCGAATTGAGGGGTGCCTTCAGAAAAACAGGGGGGGGGGGGGGGGGGGGTAGAAAATCACTGAGGCATACTCGAGAAAATTGCTTCGGAAACGATATTTAGGAGAGTTAGAAATGTGCTTCGTTCCAGTGGCGTAGGCACTGGAACGAATTCTAGTCATTCAAGTATGCGGATAGCAAGTCATCCGCTCCTTGCTCAGGACCCAGGAGCTCCGGTGACGTCGAACATCTTTGGGATTTAAAACAGCGCAAAGATCGAGGGACCAGATGAAGAAAGACGCAGACAAGGCGCTGTAAATAGTAATTCTGATTTAGTTCTCAAATATGTCATACCACCTAGCCAAAGCTTCAACTTTAGCAACGTCAGAACTTCGCCGAGCTCTGACTGGCTTTGATTGAAAGGATAGTGGCTAGACATCAATGCTAGATTCCATGAGGTCCACCCACTATTTTTTCTAATCAGCCAGTAAGAGGTCGGCGTTTTGACATCATCGCAACCCCTGTACAAGAGGCAGACGAACTTGCGCTTCGCATTGTAACTAAACAACTACACAAGCGGGGGTTCATACAAGATTAACAGTCTGGGGAAGGGGCGGGAGGGGTCACAATTGTAGGGCTCTGGGGGGCATGAAATCATGGGCTCGGGGGGGGGGGGGGGGGGGGTACAAATCGCTTTTACCGAGGTATTGCTGGAGTCTGGCATCCGAAGGAGTCAAGGTGGCAGTGTGTGTGGGTGAGTTGGTTCGTAGTCACTCCAAATGGCTCACAAAGAACGAAAGCAGAGGATAAGAAACTAAACAAAGGTCACCGAAAGACACGCCCTGACCTTCTTGATAAAAATATATATAAACGGAGAGAGGAAGTAAAAGGAGCAGTCCAAACAGGAAGTGAAATCAACGTGCCGGTTCATGTTCGGGTCTATATTGATGTGTTTACGAACTCGAAGAGCTATACACGCTTTGCACACGCTCCAGATTACAGCTGCCATTGCTGACCTCTTCTTGTCTTACCAGGATACCAAGCCACTGAAGCGGGCTTTAACGAGCCTCCATAAAGACCAATGCTGGGGAGGACACAGTCGAATCTAAAATGACAATGACATTTCCTTCTGTGGTCATGATGGAGCGAAGTGATCAAAATTAGAGAAAACAAAAACTGAAGGTCGGTTATGGCGGCGCCCATGCACATCTGCTGCAAAGCGCTATGACAGAGAAACAAAGGGTTTATACGATGATGTGGAGCAGAGATCTCCAAAACGTCTTGGCTAGAGGGCCGGATTGGGCACTGTTTCACTCTCGAGGGCCGGAAAATAGATAAGAAAATATAAATGAAGAAATACTGAATAAAAAAGGCTAAATAAGCATTTGAATGCGAAATTTTTCAACTAAAGGAAAACAAAAATGAAAGACGTTTACAATACCCTGTAACGCCAAATTAGAGCGCAGCTCTTGAGCAGGATGAGGGAAGGGTACTAAGGGGATGGTATACCCCTCCTCCCCCTCCTCATCCTCCCTGCTACTCCTCCTCCCCTCCTCCCTCTTCTTCCTCCTCCTCCTCCTTTTCCCCTCCTCGTCTTCCACTCATCCTTCAAGCTCCTCCTCTGATCCTCCCCCTCCCTCCTCTCCTCCTCATCCTCCTCCCCTCTTCCCTTCTTCTTCCCCTCCTCCTCCCCTTCCCGTCCCCCATCTCCTCCCACGCGAGAACACGCCGCAAACTTAAGAAACCTGGCTGCACCTGGACATCTAGCGGCTCATTGTAGAGAATGCATGTGTGAGGCTAAGCTCGAAACGGTAAGCCTCCTAGCTCACCACAAAGACCGGTTCGCCCGAGAACTACTTGAGGCCTTAGCCATAGAACAACAAAAAGACTGAAGTAGAGTAGACAGTTGGGCGAGTTGGTAGTTATTGAATTGTGTGCGCAACTGTCACTATGTTCAACAAAAAGACAACTGCGTCAGTTCACCATCCATTGCCCTACAAACAAGTGAAAAGAAGTTCCTGCGAGACGAAATGCCCATGAAGATAGAGGAAGATCAAGAAAAAAGAAAAAGAAGAAGACGTGAAAAGGACAGCCATCAGACCAGTAGAAGAAGAAGCCGAGGGTTAATAAATAGTTGGTAGTCCAGCGATCGGATGCCTTTTCTCCTTTCTCTCCTCACCCGTTTCTGTAAGTTCAGCTGGTTTTCACAATCTAAGTATGTACAACCAACTAGCTCAGCTCCTTCCCATTGCAAATACATATACTTAATTTTGATGTGCAATATTTTTCTATTCAGGACATCAAAATAATTGTCACACCTAGAACTCACCAGACATAAATCAAAGAGCATTGAGATGCGAATTCGTTTTATTTAGACGTAGTGCACCACTATGAAGGCGTGTAGCTGTTTGTGTGGCACTGAAAATAAAGCAAATGAATGAATGAATTGAAACTTTGGCATATTCACACAGTGCAGAAACCTAATCAAAATGGTAGATCAGATCGGATCACTATGCACTATATACATAAGAGCGCAAAGATATTTTTAGAGCGCAGCTCTTAGGGGCCCGTTTCCAGCCTGAGCGGCGTCGGCGTCGGCGTCGGCGTAACCGGGGGGGGGGGGGCACGTGACCGCCCCCGAGGTCACGTGCCCACCCCCTCGAGGTCGCGTGACCCCCCCCCCCCGAGGTCACGTGACCCCCCCCTGAGGTCACGTACCCCCCCCCCCCCCCCCCCCGAGGTCATGTGACCCCCCGCGCTCACGTGATCCCCCCGAGGTCACGTGACCCCCCAGGTCACGTGACCCCCGCGAGGTCACGTGACCCCCTCTCCCCCGAGATCACGTGACCCCCCGGGGTCACGTGACTACCCGCAGGTGACGTGATTCCCCTCAGTACCCTTCCCTACTCCTCCTCAAGAGCTGCGCTCCAATTCGGCGTTACAGGGATTTGTAAACGGCTTTCATTTTTTTCATTGTTACGCAGACATTAAACAGGATACGAGGAATAATAATTTTGGTGATGACAACGTTCAATAAATAATATGGCGAAAGAACCGGCGTTTCGATGCAGCTCTCTAGACATATGCGAACTGTGGATTTTGAATTCTAAGCGAATTCTAAGGGAATAGTGGTTTTGGCCGAATATTTTTGAATCGAATATCGAATAGTTTCTCCAAGCTTTTCACTACAACACCCTGCCTAAACGAAAACCCATCTCAACTCGCGTAAAGGTTGTTCCCGAGCTTCCACTTGTCCATATCTACGCTAAGTTAATTTTAATCTAGCTATATTCGTGAGCGGTGACATTAGACAAAAAGGCCATTGCCTAGATGGGAATTGCAAGTAAGCGATGCAGTTCACATAAGAATACACCGATAGAGATGTCCAGCTATACCAAATTGAGGGTATTTATAGATCTTCCTATAATACATCTAGAAGTTGAAACAAAAAATAAGACACTCTTGAATGATGAACGTAGGTTGTCAGGACATCTCTGTCTAACATACTCTTGCATAGTAGCCATAGTTTCATTTTTGAAAATTTGTTTTAGTGTGGATTCTAACATTCACAGAATTTTCGTTTCTTTCACATACACTACGCGCGCGCGTGCACTATCCTTTTTTTTTTTTTTCTTTTAGAAGTGTTGGTTGCGGCGGGTTAGCCCCGTTCAGCGCGCTTCTTACCGAGCACCGTTGCACTGCAGAGAAACTACACCCGCGGAAGCGAGCTGTGCGGGTGCTGCTTCTCTGCAGTGCACCGGCGCTCGGTAAAAAAGCACACTCTACGGGGCTACCCCGCCGCGGTCAAGACTTCGAAAAATACGAATAAAATAGTCAATCTCGAATCGAATATCACATAGTATATTATTTCGAAACCACTATTCAAAAATTCGAATATGCGAATAACACTACAACTTTTATCTAATTCGATTGCACTTTTGGGGCGTGTCGCGGCGCTGATATATTTTTTTTTTTTTTACGAGCGCTTATTTTTTGCGTTGATAGCACCGGGCCGCGGGCTGGGCGTAACTGGAAAGACCGCGGCCATCCGCGGGCTGGCCGGAACGCCTCCGCGGGCCGGATTTGGCCCGCAGGCCGGTGTTCGGAGACCATGGATGTAGAGTGTGGCTCAAGTATCTAGGTCGCATCGAAGTTGAGTCGGAAAGGCTGGTATGGCACATAGAGAGCTGAATTTTTTTATAAACGGTGTGTTTTACCAGTTCAAATACCCTGTTCTTACAGGTGTGTTAAAGGCCTTCGGAGAGAACTCCTTCGAACTATCGGTGAATCAGGTCGCGATCTTGGCTCTGCGCGTGCTCATCTGCGTGCGCTGGTTCGCCAATTCTTTAAAGGAGTTCATTCTGAAGGCCTTTAACGTGCCCGTATGTAAAATGAGAGTATTACACAGATAAAATTTGAATCGCGAGTACGAAATATCTGATAATTTAAACAGAGAATCCGGGGAAGTTCCGAGCGCACGGTGACCTCCGGAAACTTCTGTAACGCTTGCGCCCGGTAATAATCAAGATAGCTAGCCTCGGCAGGGTAGGATAAACTTGTACTTCGGTATCTCTTAATTTCCCTTGCAATTTACAAGAGAGACTGAATGATGGTTGGTAATATAATTTTCATTGATTTATTGCTATTTTTATCGCAGTTTTAAGGCATTTGGGAAGGTACTCGTTTCAAATGTTAGAATTTTTAAAACGCCATACGACTCGCCTTAATTGGTTCCGCTTTCATATCATATTTCCTACGGGAATTTTCTAAATTTTTTACTGTCTTAACAGTAAACAGCCTCAATGTCAGTAGAAGAGACGGGATACAAAACAATACCGGGAGTTTCCAAATTCTCGATCCGGAAGTTTCCAGAAGATGGAATTGGACACCGAGGGCAGTTGTGGAGTTGCGGAGCACATTTTACTCCGCTCTATTTTTTATTTTAGGAGCCACCTCTGGTGCAAGACTCGGCGTCTCTAAATTTTATGTGTCGCGTTCACTGCACTGAACATTGGATTAGCACTCAGCCTCGGTCGAGGTTTGAAATATTTCCGTACCTCTAAGTATTCTTGGGCCTGCATGAACTTTTGGAAAAGAGAAAAAAAAATGTAAACTTCTATTATGTTTCAGTATTTATTATCTTGCTGTATAACATTATGAGCTTACAGCCTTACTACACTCACAAAATTAAAGATAGTAGTGCATAGTATAGGAATCATACGAGCATAATTCAAATCAAAGCAATGAGCCTTGGCAATTAATATAACTTTATTACAAATGAGTGTGTGCTTTCGTGCAGAACATATCGCGAACTTTATTCGAGTCGAATTCTCGGAGTAACATCTTCATAGCCATGATCGTCTTTTTCTTTCCAGCTTTTCGGGTCTGTAAGAAAGAAAAACAATTTTGCAGTAAGTATCAGAAAACCATAAGAACGGCGTACACTCCGTAAATGAGAGCAGACTCCTTCCTTTGTACCTTTATGTGCGTGCGTGTATGTGTGTGTGTACTATTTCAGTAAAGGATTTCGGGTCAATCGACCCATTCAAAGGCTGGCCTTTAGAATGGGTCGATTGACCCATTCAAAAGGCCAACACACAGTTTACATGGACATAGGTGAAACAAAGAAACAAAATGTGTCAAATATAAAAATCCCGTATATTGTATCCTGAACGGTCAGACAAAGGATGAACCAATTCATCTCAGTTTAGAACAAAACTGTCATAGCAATATAATTGAAGTCGGGTAGCCCCCCAGGGGAACGTAATTGCAAAGTAATTGCTTTATCTTCTAAAAGTAATGCATCACTCTAATGTATTATTACTTATGATGGGCTAGTAATTTCAGTTTTAATTATACTTTTGAAGCGATGTAGTTGCAATTTCAATCACATTTCCAAAGTAATTTTCCCAAGTATATGCGATCGACACAGATGCATCAATTGCATAGAATTGTGGAGAATATACTCTAGATAAATCTCTGATCGCATTTTTGATATAAAATGCAGGGCTCCCCATAATAATTTGAACATTTTAAAGCGCATCAATTAAAGTAATAATAAAAAAATATGAACAAGACAGGCGATTTCTGGTGTCATAGCAAACTATTGACGCCACGCTTTTAGAGATCTGGTGCACCTATTTACACTGAGCATAATGAAACCTCATGATCAGCGCCCCAGTGCAGATAATTCGCCGAGATCGCTCCGTGGATTGCAGCGATTGGCTTTCCCACGTGCTTTGCGCGAAAGTAGACACTCCATATTTCTTCGAGTGTAACACCGACTTCGCTCCCTTTGTTCTTTTGATGAACGGAGTATAATATGGGGAATACGTGCATTTTCAGTTTAGGGAATTATAGCCACAGCATGGCAAATATATGCGGGCGAGTTTAGTCTGGCGTATACGGCCCGCGCCTGCATGGACGCGAGCCAGAAACGTCCAGATTTCGTCGCGCACACGCGTTATCGCTACAGCCATTGTTCTAGCGGTTCACCCAATCACCGGCAGTGTCAGCCAACGTCCAATATACGCCGCTGCCGATAACCGCGCAGTAAACCTAGACGCAAATACGATCGACGGACTGTTGTTGGCCTGCTAACGAAGTAAGCGCAGGAGAAGGTCGCCTCTTTACAATTGCTCGTGCGTCTACGGACGTTTCCACCGGTTACAAAAAATCACAGTCCACACGCGCTAGATCGCAGTCCAGCCGGCGGGCGCTCGCAATTGCGGCCAGCCAGAAAGTGCGCGTGCGTAACACATAAATAGAGCAATGAACGCGCCCTCGTACGCTTTCAATACAAAGGCCTATACTCACTCGGACAGCTAATCGCTGCGACCATGCGGAGGGAGCTCGGATAATGACTGAAAATATGTTTGGATCTAAGATCGAAGGCTGCGATGCGACAGGATGACGTTCCTCACATTGTCACGTCGTCATGGCCAGTGAAACGTCGAAGATGTTTACGGGTTGAAACGGAGGGAGAGGAAGATACCATGCAGAGCGCGCCGGGACGCCAGAACGTCAAGCTCTTTTATTTATTTATTTATTTATTTCATTTTCCCTCAAGGCCAGATGCATTACAGAGGGGGAAAGCAAAGAAAAATACAGAAAAGAAAAACAAGCCTAGAAATAGGTTAAGCACACTCAACAAATTCAAGATTAGTAATTGCAGTTTTGAAAAGGTCAGAGTCCGGGATGGTGGCAATTGTCTCGGGAAGGTGGTTCCATTTTTGTGATGTATGAGGGACGAAAACGATGAATGAAATGTTGTGTTAGAAATTGGAGTACTAACCTTGTGATTGTGATCGTTGCGAGAAGAAACGTAAAAAGGACGAGATATTAATTTGTCGCGCAGAATAGAATTGTGAAAATAAATCTTATGGAATAAAGAAAGGCGGGAAATGCCACGGCGTAAGGCTAGGCGGCGATGATAGAGTAGCTTTCATGGCGGTCACGCTAGCCGTGTTGTGGTAGTTAGAAAAGATGAAACGAGCTGCTCTGGTTGGACAAACGCCGGACGCTAAACGCACGGTGTTCGACATTCGAACGTGTTCGAACAGTGAGCGAGAGAGAAAGGCGGCTAGCTTTTCCTCTACCCACTAATCGTTCCAGTCAGAGCTCGGGGTTCTGGCGTCCTGTCCCGTCTCCTCCTTCCCCTCAGTTTCAATCCGTATAATTTCTTTCGTCACCGACACATCCAGTACCGAAACATACGTTTAAACCAAAAAACGCAGTCTGAATTGTGACATTAAGCGATGCAAGCGTGACACTCAGACCGCGTTTTCTGGTCTAAACATATGCTTCAACATCGTCATTCGCTGAGCTGCCTCGGTGAGTTGTGCTGCTTGGCTCTCCAAGTGTTGTGCGAAAAGTAGACGCCGGGCTTTTTTTAGAGTGATAAGCCACACCCTGCGGTTCTTAAGTTGGCAGTGACAATATGTCTAAACATATTTCAGGCTTCGTGCTTCGACGATCTCCCGCCGCAGATTTATGCATGCGGGGAGGCGGACGCGGATGTTTTCGGGAGTTGCAGCAAGGCGAGAAAGGAGGCCGACCGAGGCTCCAAAACAAGCATGCGGTCCAGAGGCAAATGATGCATTTCAAAGTGGAGACTATCGGATGCATATACCCGCAGCAACGGCTGTGCACGAGGCAGCACATGAAGTTGCGGCCCGAGAAGTCCACGTCCAGGTCGCAGGTGTAGCAGGCGGTCGAGTTGGCCTTGTGGACGATCAGGGCGGCCCTGGCGCACGGCTGCACGCTCAGCAGCATGAAGGCCGCAGTCGCCAGGCAGCACGCTGCTGCCAACTGGGAGGAGAGCAGGCATGCGGTTTCTGCGGTTATAATCACCGAGCGTCCTTTTATCAACCAATGAGATTAAGGAAGAGTCCGTTGTATCCTTCCGCGTTCATGGCAGCTCTCTCAGCACTTACATTGTGCCTTTTGCAAATTAGCTGAAGTTTGCTATCACACAGTTGATAGCCCTTTTCGGACATCTAGATACGCAATAAAACCGTAGCTCTGAAGTTTTGAGAAGTGCCCTTGGCGTGCAAAATCGGATATTTGTAGGTCGCAGAACGTGCGCCTTTCATTGGCCGGCGAGCAGGAACTTGATATCTTCGACCAATCAGCATCGGTGTGAGCTGGGCCTCCGCGTTTGCTACACTCGACGTTCGAGTATAACGGAGACATTGGTGCTTGTGGATATACGCTGAGGGACGCCGACAGACGTTATGCCCATGGATCGTGCCTGATATGACGCTAGGACGCCGCTTCATGTCTGCATTCAATGGTCGCGTCTCGCGGACTCTAGCGGAGGTGCATCTTTCGTGATCGCGTCTTGTCGACGTTAAGCGTCCCCTTTTCGAGAGAAACTGGCTTATATATGTCTCGTGAATTCTGAATTTGTTTTATCCCAATATTGGACTCGATAAGATAAGTGGTTATCTTATCTTATCTAGTCGAACCATCTGCTGCAGATGGTTCAACTCTTCCGTTCATACGCACACCTCGAGGCACTCATAGTCCCTCGCTCGCAATCCACGAGGTTGTCAGTCCGTCGCTCGAGGGTGCGCCATCTTTCGATTATACTTACCAACACCACTCTTGCCATTCGTCCTCTTCACGGTGTTTTGAAGTCAGCGACTTATTTATGGCCCCGTGCTGGCAGCAATGAACATCCTGCGGAGTAAACGGGTAGCGATATTATATAACTCATTCGCTTTTTCTTCAAACCAATCTGAAATTCGTGCAAAATATTATAGTCTACGTCCCAAGAGATATACCGGGAGCAAATTGCCACTAAACGTGCACACATCGGGAAACTGATCGCGCGAACAAGCTATCGCATATTTTCTCTGTTTTTTTTTTCTCAACAGGACTGTCATCTATGGTGGCGGAAAGAACTCAGTTGTAGTACTAACCTAAGTGGTAAATTTATATGCCAGCCCAAAACGACCCCTTAGGAATAAAATACAAAACACACACACACACACACACACACACACACACACACACACACACACACACACACACACACACACACACACACACACACACACACACACACACACACACACACACACACACACACACACACACACACACACACACACACACACACACACACACACACACACACACACACACACACACACACACACACACACACACACACACACACACACACACACACACACACACACACACACACACACACACACACACACACACACACACACACACACACACACACACACACACACACACACACACACACACACAATAAAACGACGAAGTTGGATTTGAGTTAAAAGTGTCGCGTTAACAGTGTCGCGCAGTGAACTTCTCGCATATACAATCTCTTGCAGTGAAATGAGCTAACCAGTGCAGGAAGAGGAAAAGAGACGCGTACGTCAATATTTCACGAGTGGTGCTTTCCTGGAGTGTTCTATGGCGGTGATATAGAATCACTATTAGCACCAAGATGTTTCGGTGGCGCCCTCTTATGGTTTCCGTTCATGACGAAACCAGAATGTTCCTCGCCGTGACGTCACGAGTTGCAAATATTTGCCTACTTATCATCAGTTGCAAACTACAAATTTGACGGTATACGTGTAAAAACAACGATGGAAGCTCGGAGTCATCGCATATTTTAAACTACCACCGTCATAGTTGAAACTCTGACATTGCGCCGATTTCCGGCGATGAAACAAAAAGAAAAATAATCCAGATAAAGACGCCAGAGCGAGCGTTCGGCCTCTTGTGAATCGCGACCCCAGCAACGCTTTTGGCCACACTAGGGCCGCACACGTCACTCTGATTATCACCGGAAGCTTTAGAAACGCGGGGCGTGACGAGTCTGCTGGGATTTTCTTATCATTCGGCAGCCAATAAAATTGCGACATCAACTGAAAAAGACGCTGAATAAGATCGAATCACTGATTAGGACACGCCCCGCATTTTTTGAGCTGCTGCAGTGACCATGAAAACTGCGCAAAGTGCAATGCCTTTCGAAACTGCATATATCTTGACCGCGGTAGCCGACACGTAGTGGGCGCTGACTTATGTTTTCTTAATATATATTAATAATAATTAAAAAAAAAGAGAACTGAAGTTGTTTATCGTTTACTCCTCGGTAGCTTCTAGTACCCACTTACACTCGACGGGTTACTATTTAGTTGTACAAAACTGTCGATATTATCGATTCTATCGATGGAATCTAAATCGTCAAGGAGTCCACCTAAAAAATCTCGCAAAACGCAAAACGCTAAAAAGTAAATCTATATTTTGAATGCTCGCATATTTATCACAGAACAACACTGTCAACAGTCGACACCCTCGAAATGGCCATCGATAATACACAATTCAATAACTATTGATAGATTTCTTGAGAGTTTCTTTAAGTTTGTTGATTGCTTGATTTCCGGGAGTTTGCACACTATTTCAGTAGTAAGAGTCCAATCAGGAAAATTAAACTTAGTTCAACGCCCGCAAGAACTACGCATCGCTTAAAACCGGAAGCATCCTGAAATGGAGCGATGGCGACTGAATGCAAAAGTTTAAGGACATGACTTTATCCGGATGAATGTAGCAATGGCGTGCCTGTTGGCAAAATAAGTTGCGAGGAAAAAAGGAAATGATACCTATTTTCTTTTTCAGAAACTTTTTTTATTGAGATAAATGTCAGATGCCAACAATGTTATTCTTCTTTTTTCTGTTCACAACATACTTTCCAATGAACGACATGTTCTGAAAAATATTGTACTTGACAAACGGCAAAAATAAAATCATTGGCAACATTACCATATGTTAGTTTGGGATAAAATTGTTATACTGTAATGTACACATTTTAAGCGTCCACAGTGTAGTTTTTGCCAACTTAATTTATTGGTCCAAAAGTAATATTGACATATTATGTGAAAGATCCTATATTTTTAAATCGTATTTCGTACCAAGTTAACATGCAAATGATATATATAAACATCCAAACCTTCAACTGGAACGCTTGAAAGTATATCTGTCAAAACAAAACCAAACAAACAGTGGCAAATATATCATAGCAAAGAAGCCTAATTTTTTTTTTTATCATCAACTATTTTTTTTTTAATTTTATGTAACCTGGTATCGATGATAATCAGCAGAAACAAATATATAATCGCCGGCGGAGTCTCCACTTCTAGATTAAAGTGGCAATTTGGGCCAGTTGGTTCATGATCAAGTAGGTAAGCGCCAAAAAACACAAGGACAACGGAGTGGACAAACAGGGGCGCACTCTTAACTAACTTTTATTAAAAAAAATGCTTCCATATATAGTCGACAATTGACAATTGATGAGGGGACGAAAACTGAAGCAAGATAAGCGTTTAATGGAGCGAACTTGGGCCCAACACAAAACGGATAAAGGCTGTAGCGTCGCAGGCGTCGATGTTTGCGAAACAACAGGATCGAGCGCTGGGGCGGGACTGACTCCGGCTTGCCACGAGGAGTACATTTTGTAGCACATGGGTTTCTGGAACATTCGGCCTAGGACGTTCGGCGCGTAGAACATTCGTAACTTGATCACTCGAAAAAGTTCTCGAATTTGCGAGAACGCCGAGTAGAAAGAAGGAATAGAAGAGCATTCCGCTCCCTGGAACCGAACCCAGATCCGTGACAGCCAGACGTTGTGGCAGAAATAGGTACCGACGCTCTTTAGCACGCTGGGATGCGACCGTTGTGTTGGTGTCACGTTTCAAACGAGGTGGAAGCTTTCTTCGCCTCCACGCATTGCAGCGACTCTATGAACACGCTGCTCACAATGTCGGGAAAACGGTACTTTCTATCTGCATAACATTTACGGGACGACGTTTTTGGTCATGCTCGAGGCAAGCGGGTCGTCTTCGAAGGAAGCCAAGTTTCGGAAACAACACACGCATAACATCGTGTTTAAATTCGCTCGCTTTCACGCGGAAGTGCGTCGTACTCTCTGTAATTCCGGAGGCTTTAGGGCAGGGATCTTCTTTTCCCGCCGTTTTACTTCCGGCTTCTGTGCGGCCCAGACGCGGCGGACTGGCTACGACTTTTGAATAGTTGGACAGAGTTCAGCCGCTGCAGGAAACGGCTGGTATAGGTGCGATGAAAATAGGCCAAAAAACGCCATCTATAATAACGCCAGCCGAGAAAGTGAAAGGAAAGTGCAGCTGTAAAAATCTACCTTAAACCCTATAGTCTATCTTAGTTCCGCTCCGAGTTCAGTAACCGCAGAGTCTCTCACACTTTTTTGAGTCGGCCTAATACGCGCCGTTTCTGACTAGATACAAGGGTCGTTCAAGACTGGCCGCGACTCTTACTTCTACAGGGGGCGTGAAAAATCCGTCGATAAAGAAATGAAGAATATTTTTCGAGGTAATCCCAGTGCACGTCCGGACACCGCTGGCATCGTTTAGGCAGTAACCTGATTTCTTTGAGTAGAAAGAACCGAGCTGCGGACTGCAGTCCGATGAGCGTGCCCGTCCGGACTTTTAGCAAACCGTTATTGCATTCCGCCGAGCCTTTGAAGCATGCTTTTAAGCGCGCGCCCCACGGTCACGGTATCGCTCGGGCACACGCTTAAAAGCACGCTTCAAAGGCGCCGGTAGAGTGCGGTACGCGGAACACGGTAACGGTTTGCTAAAAGTCCCTAATGACTATAGTCCATTACCGAACTATAGAACTTGACACCATTCGCACACTCTTGTTTATGACATCGTATGTTCCCCTATTCTGTTGCTTGCAATTTTCTCAAGATTTTGGCTGGGTTAGCTTTCTAAAAAAAATGGAATGGCGCACCACTGCCCCACAGGTACATGGGGTATTTCCACGTCAGATCGTACAGTGATGGTCCGAGTCATATGTTTTATGTTTATGTAAAAAAAAAAATATATGTGAAAGCCATTTCCTGCAGTGAATGTGTGTATTTTCTTCCGGATATATGAAATTTCAAATCTCGAGGCGTGGTTTCAAGGTTTCATTATGTGATTTCGCAAAGCCGTCAATTTCACACCGAACCATGCACGTAGTAATGATTTTTACTGCTCATTTATCGAAGGTTTGCAACATGTACACAAAAGAATAAAATTGAAAAATATAGATCAAAATAAATTACGGAAGTCGTAAAATGAAAACGTTTTAAAGACACATTCCGAAATTATTTACCAAAAAAACTGCTTCCTATAAAAAGGCGCAAAATGTATCAAAAGGATAATCTTTAAACAAAAAGAAGCGGTTCTGTATTTGAAAACACGCACGCACGCACGCACGCACGCACGCACGCACGCGCAGACCCACACACACACACGCACACACACACGATGCGTATGCAATTGACCCTCAAAATTCCGAATATCGAGATTATTTTAAAATTTGGAGCACGGAAGCTATACATAAAATCATTTTCAAAGTACCGCTGAAGCTCTTCCTTCCTGGAGCGTTACGTCATAAACGGAGTTTTCGAAATTTCAACTCTCCCGCACCATCAGCGCCTATGAAGGCTATGCAGGCGCACTCTTGCTATTTTAGAAAGGGTCAGAAAAAAACGTCACGACTGGTGTCACGTGCAGGGGAATGTACCAGACAAGCTTGCCATTGCACATGCTGCCCACACGGGCTTGGCGGCCGAAATATCGGGGTGTCAGGTAACGACTGGTCGGAGGTTTTTCGTG